TTTATGTAACTAATTTGCTTACCCACTAGAGTTCAATGTTCCAATTTTTAAATAAACTATAATTTATAACATCCTAAGAAAGTCAATAATATACCTCACTAATTTAATTAAACTAAAGTCCTAAATTGTGAATGTTAATTATTCAATGTTCTACTTATCGTCATCCATCAGCTTCACAAGTCCAATCGCTGGGGAGGTCGAACAACTCTACCAGAACGGGTGGTGGTATACTGAGTGGATTGAGCCCCAGATGTCAGCGCAGCAGGAGGTACTATGGGTGGCGTTCGTGGTGGTACAGGTTGCTGGGTTGTGGGGGTATCAACAGTTCGTTCTGCGCGGGTAGGTTCCGTTTCTTGACTCCCTTCGGTAATGGAGACTAAGGCAGATCGATTACGCCTAAGAATTCTTTTGTCAGTCTTCACAAGGTAGGATCTGGGATACTGGGTGGAAGAAACGATCTCACCTTGCTTACTTTGATCCTTGACCCATACAGCATCTCCAGAGTCAAAGGTGGGCAGTTCTCTTGCCCTATGCCTACGGTTGAAATTGGTTTCTTGTGCTCTACGGTAGGACTTTTCCTTGGATACCACCCTCTCCAACTCAAAAGTAAGGTCCTTCGGTTTCAGTATAGCTGGGAGAACGGGTAGCTGTGTCTTTAGCCGGCGACCCATAAGGAGCTGGCTTGGCGACAACCCATTCTGTAGGGGTGTCGAGTGATACGATAGAAGGGCAAGATAAGGGTCTTGGTTCTTCTTCAAAATCTCCTTTGCAGTACGCACTGCCCGCTCGGCTTCACCATTCGCTTGAGGATACCTAGGTGAACTTGTGGAATGAATGAAGCCATAGATTTTCGCAAACTTCCTGAAGGCTTCGGATGCGTACTGAGGACCATTGTCCGAAATAACGATCTCTGGAATCCCATGAGTGGCAAATAGTTCCTTGAGAATATTGATCACGTAGTCAGACGTCTGACTGTGAAGCCTTTTAATCTCCAACCAACGAGAATAGTAATCAACAACAAGAAGATAGATTTTCCCTTGAAAGTCGAAGAGATCCATACCGATCCGTTCCCATGGGCGAGAAGGGAAAGAACTTGACATGAGTGGTTCTTTCTGGTCTTGTCTCACCTTTGCACAAGTATTACACTTAGAAATCATCTCTTGAATAGCAGTTGACAGTCCAGGCCACCAGACTGAGTCACGTGCTCTTGCTCTACACTTAGTTATCCCTAGGTGACCAGTATGGATGCAGTCAAGGATATCCAACCTCAGGGCTCTCGGAATAACAATTCGATCGTCATATAACAAGATCTCATCCACAACTGCTAGGTGGCTCTGTGCCTCCCAGTATGGTCGCATTAGCGGCTGGTGGGGCCTATAGGTGGGCCAACCATTTACACAATACTTGTGGATTAGAGAACATTCTTCATCTACTTTCTGAGCTGCCCGTATTTCCTGCAAGCGATTTGTAGTTACAGGTAATGTACCCAACATCTCGTTTGTATAGCTCTCTACTTCCTCTACAAGATTGTGATCGTCTCCATCCGGTTTACCAACAGGAGCGCGAGACAGTGCATCTGCGACAAGCTGTTGCTTTCCAGGGACATGGACGACGTGTGGGTTAAACCTCATAAGTCGCAACCGAAACCTCAGTATGCGTGGAGGCATCTTGCTCAACTCAGTTGTGTTGAACAGCGTTGTGAGAGGTTTGTGGTCTGTCTCTAACGTAAACTACAATCCGGTGATGTAATCCGAGAACCTCTCACATGCCCAGGTCGCCGCTAGAGCTTCTTTCTCGATGACTGCGTACCGCTTCTCTGTTTCTGATAGAGTGCGAGAAGCATAATAGACGGGACGACGGTCGCCATCCTCCTGAATCTGGATAAGCACTGCTCCAACTCCGATAGCAGAGGCATCTGCAGCGACTATGGTTTCCTTTCGAGGATCATAGCGAGCCAGAACTTCCGAAGACATCAGGACTTCTTTGATCCGTAAGAATGCTGTTTGATGGGCTATTTCCCATCTCCACACAGCGTCTTTGTGAAGAAGCTGTCGAAGAGGCTCGTTGAGGTCTGCAAGTCGCGGTACAAACTTGCCAACATGATTTACCATTCCTAAAAATCGTTGAAGCTCGGTGACATTTTTAGGTGTTGGGAACTTGGCAATGGCTGTCGTTTTGTCTGGGTCAATGTGGATGCCCAGATCGTCAATCACGTGTGCCAGGAACTTGATTGACTCTTTACTGAACTCACACTTCTCATTCAGGGTCAAACCTGCATCCTGAACACGTCGGAGTGCTGCACGTACTCTTTCGTCATGTTGGACCTGATCTTTTCCACCAATCAAGACGTCATCCATCTGACAGATTGTTCCATCAAGACCTTTTAGGATACCAGACATAGTCCTTTGAAATATCTCAGGAGCTGAGCAGATGCCAAATGGCAACCTGTTAAAACAGAATCTACCAAATGGTGTTATAAATGTTGTCAAAAGTCTCGATTGTTCGTCTAGTGGGACCTGCCAGAACCCACTGTTCGCATCAAGCTTGCTGAAAACTTTCCCCTGGCCCAGCTTGGAAAGGCTCTCATCCACAGACGGCATTGGGTGTATTTCTCGCTTAACCGCCTTATTTAACTGGGTTAAATCCACACAGATGCGGACCTTACCATTGGGTTTTGGAACGCAAACCATACCCGAGCACCATTCAGTAGGAACAGTCACAGGTGAAATAACATTCTGCTTGAGCATAGACTGTAATTCTGCCTCGACTTTGGGTATCAGGGGATGGGGCACCTTTCTTGGATTGTACAGACAAAACGGGGTGGCATCATCACACAGTGTTATATGGTGTTCCGTTTTTAGCTTCCCCAACCCTTCGAACAATCCAGGAAACTCCTTTCGGAAGTCAGGGGGGGACTGAATAACTTCCCCTACATCATTCAATTTGACAAGACCCAATTGTACACAAACTTTCTTGCTTAATAGGGAGCAAGGCTGATTCCGAATAACATATACCAGTTCCTGGACCTTACTCTGACGGTATTTCATGGTAGCCATGAAAGTTCCCATAACTTTGAGCTTGGATCCCCCTGGACCTCTAAGGGTTTGTTGAGGTTTTTCCAACGTAATACCCTCTAGCCATGGAACTGAATCACTTAGCACACAAACTGATGCGCCTGTGTCTAGTTTAAACTTTGTGTTGTGACCATTCAACTTTGTGTTGTGACCATTCACCCCTATTTGTGCAGTCCAGGAATCATTACTTTCCCCATTGATCTCCCCGAGAAACAGGACCTGATCTTCCCCCAGGCTCTTATTAACTTCGTTAACTGACTTGGAAAAACTTGGCTTGCTCTGACAAACTGCTTGGTAGTGGCCTTTTTTCTTACATTTATTACAGGTAACTGACCTTGCTGGACAAACTTTACGGTCATGCCTCTCATGGCCACACCAATTACATTTATCCCCTGATTTCTTAGGTGGTGTATGGGGACCCTTAGTTTCCTGGGAACGAGGATTTTGCTTGTGATATCTCCCCTTGGTTTGGGCCCCATTTCGGACATAATAAACATCACTAGACTTTGTGGCATCCCCTCTCACTACATCTCTGTTATGTTTTCGTTCCTCTGCTTGACGGGCAATCTGTACTGCTTCTTGTAAAGTCAGTTTTGGCTTAGACTGTAGGCGGTCTGAGAGTGAATCGTCTACAACCCCTACAATAATTCTATCTCTAATCAATTCGTTTTTTAATGTTCCATACTCACAATCTGCTGCAATTTTGTAGAGATCCTGGATGAATGTATCCACTGGCTCCCCAGTGCGTTGAACCCTCCGGTTGAAGCGAGCACGCTCAACAAGTACGTTTCTCCTGTCAGAAAAGTGATTCTCGAGTGCTGACTTGACTTCTTCGTACGAAGCTTTGTCCTCGTCAATTTGTAGCGTTTTCAAGATATCATCAGCGCATTCACCCATCGCATACAGTAATGTAGATACTTGTTCAGCATCCGATTTATTATTAAGCCCTGAGGCAATTCTGTAGCGTTCAAACCGGCGTATCCACTTCGGCCACAAGTCGCCTTGTTTTGGGCCATTTCCCCCATCGAATTTCTCAGGAATCGGGATATTTGATACTTGGGACATATTCCCTATTGTATCGTCTGCCATTTTACTATTTTTTCACCGCTGCCACCATGTAGTAACGTGCCGAAACAGAAGATAAACGAGCCCAGTGTAAGATACAAAATATATTGTTTAAACTAAATACAAGATGGCGGAACACTCTTTTATACATGCCCCAACATGCGTTGGGGTCGTCAATGCACAGGGGTACCGTACTCTACAGTCCGCTCCATCCGCTTCCGCATTTTAACCTAATTGTGACATGTTTTACAATATTAAACAAGTCCGCATTGGCCTTTGACTTTTCCCAGTGCACGTTGTGTCTATTTTTAACTTTTCGCATGTTTTGAATAATGACACTTTAGATTTCAATAGTTTCACAGTTATAGCAGTGTTTAAAGCAGTTTTGGCAAGCTTTGATACAGTTCTGTGTACAGAATACTACAGATTAATTATCGTAAGATCCGGTAGAGTTAACGTTGCACTGAACACGAATTTGCACCGTTGACAACGGCGTTGTGCCAGACAGTAAACAAGGTCCGTGACAGTACACGTTGGCTACATGTACCTCCTTGCTTTTTTCTTCCATTGCATAAAGCTTGTTGGTGAGCCAAGCGATTGGCGATAACACGTTGGCGATAACATATTGGCTATCTCCTCGTCTTTCTTATTAAAATAAGGAGCTCTGACTCAACTGATTTCCTTCGTCTCGCAATATTTTCTTCATAAACGCCTGTACGAACGCCCGCTTCTGTTTAATAGTTGTTGATGCTTTATTGATCTGATGCAATTTTTCGCTCTTTGACTGAGTGTACTATTCTGTGATACAATGTATAATGAATACACGGTCTAAATAATATCGTCTATCGATGGGCACTTAATTGAACGCCGGTAACCATACTCATCAATTTATATATCATATTATTGCGTAGAATCTCAAAGATTTTCTCAATATTCATGTCTGAAATGTTTATATATTTGAAAAACAACACTGTTTCGCTTCTTCGTACATACTGTACCCCTGTATAATGAGTATACCGTGAAAATAATATCAGCACTCAATTGAATGCTTAGAATCTCAAAGATTTTCGGCTCAATATTTATGTCTGAAATGTTTATACACTTGAGTCTTAAATGCACTGTCTAGGCGGTCTAGCTCCTTCCTAGCTCTGTATAATGAATATACCGCCTAAATATTATCGACACTTATTAATTAAACGGCCGTAATGCATAAGATCAATTTATATATTGCGTAGATTTTCAAAGATTTACTCAATATTCACGTCTGAAATGTTTATACATCTGAAAACAACACTGTCACTCCTTCCTAGCATATCGTCACGCCATCGTGATCTACGGCTTGATAGCGCATGCGCATTTGCGCTACTAAAGAAAAATCGGGTGTTTCGGGGTAAAGATCCTTTACACAACATGAGAAGCGAATGTTCTAAAATTTACAAAGAATTACAATAACGAAAGCGATTGCTCGAAATTTTTGTGAACTTGGTAAAAGGATAACAGAATATGTAAATAAGTTAACTGAAATTGCCTAAATAACCTTCAAAGTACTGACTAAGCACAATAAATCACTACGAACATAAATCGTACACGCCCCCCGGAAAGTTTACTGTATGACTGACTGACTGACTGTTTCGTTTGAATTTTCCCCACCATCACAATACTGTGAAGTTTCGAAGAAACTTCACACTAAAAACAAGGAATCCGGATACTTTCACGAATCCAGAAACCTTTGCTTTAGTGCAAACGTAAGTCTTTCTGTACAGTACTAGTTTTAGTTTAGCGCATGACACTTTTTACTCTTTTCCTGTATATTTCGTTGAGCCATTTTTTTTCTAATTTCACGTATATACGAAAACAATTCCACCAACGACGAAGTACAGTACGCACTAAAACCCCTCTGAAATTGACATGTAGCAACTACTGTATGACACCATGCAATGATAGGATTTAGTTCAAACTAAATTTGGATGGATGGATCAGTAAATAGTCTAGGGTTAGACAGAGCAAAATGATAAAGTAGGGGCATTACAGCACAACACAACTTAATAGGTTAATGGTTTAACCATACACATATGGACACATAGTCTGATTAACCCATTCAGTGCCAGCACTCCCCGCTTGACAAGTAAAGTACTAGAGCGCATTAGGGCTCGATGTAACTTATGGGTTGATATTCCAATGTTAACTTTAATATTCCCACTTTAACTGACTGTAACTTTAATGTTTTGACATTAATATAGCATTGTTCAGTTTTCAGCGGTCATGGCTGGAAGTAGTTGTCGTGGGTGCTCAGAATCAGTTTCAATCATTGAGATACTCATTTGAAATCTTCCAAAGAATGGGGGAAATGACATTTCAGACCCTCTAGATGAGAAATGTTTTGCACCCCCTGTTTTGGACTTTGTGCCTGATTTTAGGGGGTTACCCTCAAGTTGAGGGTAATACGAAAGCTAGATTTTAACTAGAAAGCGTGTCTAAAATATCAAGAAAGAAAAATAGAAATATTTAACATTATCGTGAACTTGACGGACGGAAAATCCACGAAATTGTAAGTACGGCAGTAGATGGCTGTTCTTAGAACGTTTATATTTATTATCTTGGAGTTTTACTCTGTTTTTTCTAGTTGACTCTGTCAAATATATACACGGCATATATTTGTTGAATACTAAAGTATTGAACTATCTATTATTATATCGCCTGTACATGAGTTACAGTTAGTACAGAATTAAAAGATTATTCGCCTGTCTGTTGTGATGTTTCGCATAAAGTAGTGCCCCACGACGAGGGTACGAAACAGTCAAAATTTCTAACATTTGAAAGATCACAGAACTGCAAACAAAGGGAAAATCAAGGACAACCGACTGCAAGAAACAAGCGACACACCGTCCTCGAAAGTCCTACCTTGCAAGAACCAGAAAGAGTCATAAAAGGTCAGGAAAATCCTTTTATGTTGTCTTTTAATTGTGATATTTTGAGATATTTTATATGAAAACTTGGCCCGCTCATATTCGACAGCGCGCTGCACGAAATCGAGGCTCGTAATAAACATCGCTCAGAATAACAAAAAACACATCGTTCAAAATGCCAAAAACAGATTTGAAAGTTTTAATTGGCAAAAGAGATAATGCAATCCAGTCTATACAAGAATTGTTCGAAGAATTCGAGACTGTCCTTACAGTGGAACCTAATTTGGACAGATTGGAAACTATTTTCAATTTAGTTGAAGCTAAGTACCGAAATATAAAGAAACAACAAGAAACCATAGCCGATAGAATTGTGGAGGATAGTTTGTCTGAGGCTGATCCGATGTTAAAATCCAACAGTGAAGTGGGCGAAAAAATAAAAAATGACTATTTGCAACTCGCCAAAACCTTTGCAGCATATCAAAAGAAATTAAGCTCAAAGAAATCGCCTGCTGATAATTCAGAGTCATTGGAAGCAATGACGTCAGCGGTGACAAAAATGGCAGAAGCCTTAGAAGGCTCCAGCTCCAAGTCAAAAGCTAGTGGCCTTGAAAGATTGCCAGTTCCATCTTGGGACGGATGCAGAAGAGCATATTCCACCTGGAAAAAGGAATTTCGTCACTGAATGACTAAATATTCCCAAGATAAAGACGAGCAACTTCAACGCTTTCGAAAGGCCATGCCTAAAGGCTTCTGGTGGACGGACCAGGTAAAAACATGCAAGAGCATTGATCGTGCTTGAGACATTCTAGATGTTGAATTTGCTGACAAACGGAAACTCATGGACGAACTACTAATGGGAATAAATAACCAAAAACCAGTGAAGAGAGACTCGAAATCACTTTCCCAATATGCATCCTTGATAACCGGATATGTAAATGATATGGAAGACAATGAATGTCCAGTCTCCTCGTCGTCCGAAGCCCCTTTCTTCATGTCCCAGCTTCTCTCAAAGCTAAATGCTGGTGACAACTCTGCATTTGGTCGAGATATGAAGAGAGATAAAAAGGAGGAAAATGTTTCCAACCTTATTATTTGGTTGCAAGAGGAAGCTAGTCTTCGTTCAAGAGGAAGAAATAACCTTGAAAGTGAGAATGTTACCAGAAGATCCGAGAACCGATCTGGAGACTTTGAAGTACGGGAACCATGTCCTCTTGGTTGCCAAACTAAACACCTACTCGCTGCTTGCCCTACCTATCAGAGTTTAACTGTAAATCAACGATGGGACATCGTTAAACAGAAACTGAGATGTCGAAAATGTTTAAAGGCTCATCATACTAAAGACTGCAAGAAGTGTGATGGCGTGACATGCGACAAGTGTAAGAAAAACCACCACCGATCATTGCACAATACCAAACCATTAAACCCGGATGCCTCTCCTTTTCCTAACGAAGAGAATAACATTACAAACAACAACGTTGATATAAACTCTTCTAAACACATGAATGATGTTCAGACTGTAACTGGACTATGTCCAATTCAAAAGATTAAAGTAGCGGATGAAAATGGAGTACCTGTGGATATTCTCGCAATGTTGGATACCGGTTCAAATACTAGTCTCCTGTCTAAGTCTGCGGCAACAAAACTTGGATTAAGCGGGCCACAAACACATCTAACTATGAACTTAGCTGGAGGAGCCAAGAAGTCTGAAGTTTCTGAAATTGTAGAAATCACCATGATCTCACCAATTGAAGAAGACATCAAGAAAACCCTCCTTGTACACACAGTTAACAAACCATGCAGCGGTGCCAAAACAGTTTCAAAGAGATCGTTGGCGAAATAGCCTCATCTTAAACCAGTTTTAGAGAAACTGCATCTATCTGGTGGGAGCATTGACTTACTTCTCGGAACTGACTTTGCGGATGCCTTTGTAGATGTCCATGCTATACCTGGACAACCTGGTTAACCTGTAGCTAAAATGAACTGCTTTGGTTGGTATGTCTTAGGCCAACTTGCCGCAAGCAATAGTAGAATTCAATCAGTCGATGTTGGTACAATAAGTGTTATCGAAGATTTGAATATTCTTTTACAGCAAGATCTTATCGGAGTTAAACCAACCGAACTGTGTACGTACAGCGACAGTGAATTACGGGAGAACAAATTTGTAAAGTCACTTTCCCAGTCAACAACGTTAGTAGACGGCAGAGTCCAAATCAAGATGCCTTGGAAAGAATATGGACCACCGAGACGTAGCAACTATAACATTGCCCTTAAACGAATGCACTCGACTGAAAGATCGTTTGAAAGAAAAGATTGCACCGAAGCCGTTAACGAAGAGGTTCAGAAGCTATTTTCCCAAGGTTTTGTGACCAAAATCCCCCCGGAAGATGTAGATCACACGAAACCTGAATGGTACTTACCGCTACAGGCCGTATTCACACCTAACAAGTCAACAAAGCTTCGCCTTGTCTTTGATTCGTCTGCGAAAGGACATGATAATTGCTCACTTAACGACCATCTTGAGAAAGGCCCAAATTATATCAACGAGCTTCCAAGTGTTCTTGCGGCTTGGCGATGGGATAACGTCGCGTACTCTGGCGATGTACGCAAGATGTTCAACCAGATTTTGGTGCATCCTGACGACCAAGTGTACCATCGATTTCTATGGAGGAACAGTCCAACAGAAGAACCAACCGTCTATCAGTGGCTGCGATTGAGTTTCGGAGATAAGCCAGCGCCAGACATTGCATCCAATTCAATTAAAGTTCTAGCCAAAGCGTCTCAAGTTAAAGAACCCCAAGCAGCAACAGAACTTCTGCAACATGTGTATGTCGATGATGTTGGAGGATCCTGTTCAACTGTTCAAGAAGCAAAACAAGTCACTACAGGAATTGATACAATACTTGAACATGGGAAATTCGAGATCAAAGCGTGGCACTCGAACAGAAAAGAGATTGATCAGACGCAAAATGAAAGATTTACGGATCTGCTCGGCCACAAATGGGACAAGGAACTTGACAAGTTTACATTCAAGAAAGCGGAAGTGATCCGTACGCTCGAATCGTTTACAAAGAGAAGTTGCCTTGCTATTCTCGCCCAGTTGTGGGATCCTATCGGGCTCATTTCACCTGTCACCATAAAATTCCGAATAGACTTACAAGATCTCTGGAGTTCGGGCTATGAATGGGATGATGTCTTACCCGAAGAAGCCCAGAAGAAGTGGGCGAAAAATTTTAAGATAATGAATCATCTGTTGACCCTCCAGTTTGACCGAAAGTTGAAGCCGAGTGATGCAATTGGTCCACCACAGATTCATGGGTTCTCAGATGCCGGAGAGCAGGCATATGGAGCGGTCATATTTCTTCGATGGGAGCTCGAAGACAGCAGCTTCTACTGTGTTCCAGTCATTATCAAACCGTTTGTCGCGCCAGTAAAGAAGAAAAGTATCCCCAGATTAGAATTGCTGGGCTGTCTAGCCCTCTCGAGGATCTACGATACCTGTCGGAAGATATTAGATTTTGCAAACGTCAGCGAAGCAAAGAAATTTCTATGGGTCGATTCTACAACAGTGCTATCTTGGATAACAACTCCCTCGAAAGAGTTCCGGCCCTTTGTCTCAGCAAGAGTCGCAGAGATTCAAGAAACTGTTGGTACGAATGACTTTCACTACATTAGATCCAGTTTCAACCCAGCTGATGGCCTCACTCGAGGAATTAAATTGGGACAACTCGAAGAATGGTTAACTGGTCCACTCTTCCTCACGACGCCCGAACCAGAATGGCCACAATTTAAAGAAGACAATCAAAAGCGTAATGTTGATCTCTCGGAGACCAAAAGGGAATCTAAACCTCCGAAGAAGTCGAAGAACAAATCGACATCTCAAGTTAGCTCAACCTTTAAAGAAGAGCTAGCAAATTCCACCCCAGAAGATTCGACAAAAGTTTCTAACGAGCCAAGAGTTCAAGCCAACGTAGCGACGAAATATGAAGTGGAAAACCCCATTTTTTCCCATCTACTAGAAACTTGCTCTACGTTTTCGAAAATTCGAAGAACACTCGCATATGTTAATCGGTTTATCCAAAATGCCAGAAACGTAAATCGACAAAGAGGATCAATTACCGTGGAGGAACTTCGGAATGCAGAGAAACAACTGTTTCAGTGGACTCAATCTCACATAACTGACAATGCGATTGCCGAGCAACTCCTTGTCGAGAAAGATGAAGATGGCCTACTCAGAGTACATGGACGGCTCGAAGACATCAGAACCCTTCCAAAAGATATGAGAAACCCGATTCTCCTTCCCAGAAATCACCCACTAGTCTATCTACTTCTGCAACACATGCATGAAACAAATCGTCATTGTGGATACCAACGATTGATGCACGAGGCGAGAAGAAAATTTTGGATCATTGGACTTCGTGGCATGGCGAAATATCTCACCAACAAATGTGTCGTTTGCCACAAGCTACGCAAGAAACCCCTTGGTCAAATCATGGGGCAAATACCAAGCCTACGAGTAGCTGCAGGATTTCCTCCGTTTACGAACACTGCCATAGATATGTTCGGTCCGTTTTATATTAGATTGGGTCGAAAGACACTAAAGGAAGCACAAGTCATTATCTTCACTTGCATGACTACAAGAGCGGTACATTTGGAGCTCGTTAGCGACAAAAGTACGGACACGTTCTTATTAGCATTTCGGCGTTTTGCCAGTCTACGTGGTCATCCAAGCACGTGTTGGTCTGATTGTGGTACCAATTTTGTTGGCGCTCAAAGTTATCTCGATGAAGTTATGCGGAATTGGAACATTCCAAAAATTCAGAGTGTTCTTTCCAACGAATTTACCTGCGAGTTCAAGTGGCAGTGGAATACACCGCATGCGAGTCACCAGAACGGAGTGGTGGAATCTCTGATCAAATCGGTGAGACAGGCCATGGATGCCACATGTAAGAACCAAACATTCACAGAAGAGCAATGGCGTACGTTTCTTGCAGAAACCACTTATCTAATCAACAACCGGCCGCTATATCCAAGTTCAGAACGTGTTTGGGAAAGCCCGCCAATCACAGCCAACGACATCCTCATCGGATCACACAATTCACCTCCACAACCGGAGTCCGAAGAAAAGATCAATCCTAGAGATTTGCTAAGAAGTACAGAGGATAGAGTGAACGCATTCTGGAACTGCTGGATCAAGTACTTCGCACCTAACCTTTTGCCAAGGAACAAATGGTTTCGAACGAGGGAAGATGTCAAAGTTGGTGATTTGGTTCTGGAACTCGACAACAAGCACAGAAGATCTCAATGGAAAATGGCGGTGATTATCGACACCTACCCAGGAAATGACAATCATGTTAGAAAAGTTCGAATCAAGGCGGAAAATGGTGAATACGATAGACCCATTCACAAGCTTTGCCTCATCGCAACTAAAGAAGAATTAAACGGAGAAGAGAGATAGGAAGACTGCGTTGACGGACTCGTTACTCATACTGTATTATAGTTAATGTTATGTTGGTTATGTTATCGTTGCTCAATTAAGCTTCACAGAGACCTTGATTTCCGCACTGGGGTGGAGTGTTTTGGACGTTGTGCCTGATTTTAGGGGGTTACCCTCAAGTTGAGGGTAATACGAAAGCTAGATTTTAACTAGAAAGCGTGTCTAAAATATCATGAAAGAAAAATATAAATATTTAACATTATCGTGAACTTGACGGACGGATAATCCACGAAATTGTAAGTACGGCAGTAGATGGCTGTTCTTAGAACGTTTATATTTATTAATTTGGAGTTTTACTCTGTTTTTTCTAGTTGACTCTGTCAATATATACACGGCATATATTTGTTGAATACTAAAGTATTGAACTATCTATTATTATATCGCCTGTACATGAGTTACAGTTAGTACAGAATTAAAAGATTATTCGCCTGTCTGTTGTGATGTTTCGCATAAAGTAGTGCCCCACGACGAGGGTACGAAACACCCCCAGAACTCTGTGTAGTATAAGTTGTATAACAACAGTAGAGTACATGGTATTTTATTAATAAGCTTTATTTGCATGACCTAATTACAGGTATTGCTAAGCGTAATAGTAAGTATATATAAATGTTACTGGTGTATAAACTACTTTAACTAACTAAAAACAATATACCGCTATTTACATGTATAATATATCAAATATGAAGGATATATCATCATATGACAGAACAAATATCAAAATTTAAGAAAGGATTAGAAAGAGGATAATATAAAAAAAGGGAAAGGAAAGTTATATAATATAATATATAGAAACTTATGACTTCTGGTTTAAGGGCTGTTGTCTCTGATATAAAAACATTTCGAAATATGTTCCGAAAATAGATCTGTTATCACAGGGTCATTCAAAGACATAAGATCACTTAATAATTTTCTCTTTAATTCATCAGTGATGCTCATATGGAAATAGTCTTTTAGGATGTTGTGCGAGTTATTTCGCAAATTCTCATATTTTTCACATTCAAATGAAAAATGAAATTCATCTTCAACTGCAATTTTATTGCAGTATTTACACAGTCTCTCATGTCGAGGTACATCGCTATAACGACCGAACTCAATTTCTAGTTTATGATTACTTATACGAAATTTTGAGAACAGTCTTCTTTGATTAGGGTCTTTAATGATATTTAGATATTCTTCTAAGTTATAGTGTTTTTTAAATGTAGAATAAAATGACAATTTACTAGAGTTTTTAATTTGGTTTTTCCAAAATGTTGTGTAGTTATCTTTAATGGTTTTTACAAAATCGTGTATGTTTGTATCCTGAACAAATTTTTCAATATCTATTGTATCTTCGATATCGGGATGAAACTTTTTAATAATGCTTGCAGCATTAGAATAGAATGAATCTTTGCCGTTTGAGTAAAGTCTTTTTGATAGGTAAAAAGTTTGTTTCGCTATACTTGTATCTGGTAATTGACTAAGATGGTTAATGTAAGAAAATAATCTTTTGAATATGGGGATTAACAGAGGGAATTTACCTAATTCACCCCTACTAGCGACATTGCTCGCTTTCCTGTTCACACCTAAATAGAGTTTGCAGAATTTCAGATGTGTTTTCTCAGTACTAGTTTTGTCCCATTTAGTGAAATCGTTGTTACCATAGGCTCCCCAAACCTCAGAGTTATAAAGTAAGATTGGAGAGACTATGCCATCAAAGATTTTTATGGCAAGTTTTGGTGTAAGTTTCTGAAAATCAAGATTTTTCCGTATTTTAAATAAGGCATGCATAGCCTTTTCACTGAGTTGCTGAGTCGCAACTGAAAATTTAGTGTTAGGAGTCAGTTTTAGACCGAGATAAGTGTATTCGTTTGTGATATCAATACGTTTATCTCCCAAGAAAAAGTCGAGTGTTTGTGGTATACTTTGGCATAATTTACGCACATGCAATGTTAACCAAAGTGTAGTAAATGTGTGCATTTGCATAGGCTAATACAGACCAAGCTAATGACTCGATCAGGCAAACCATTACATCCCCCCCTCCCCAGGTTGAAGGAAGCTTTGCGCCTCCCTGAATAAATGTATCAACCTAAATGCAAAGTCAACTATACAGGTACTGCAATCTCGTTCCCCGAGCCTGCGATTCTTGGGAAGGAAACGAAGGCTCTGGGATAATCCATCTCAGACATACAGAAAACTGTATGTCGACCGAACTGCGCATGCGTTGGCAAAAGCAAAACAAATTGTTTGAAATATTTTATTGTTTCGTCTATAAAATGATGATTTTTTCGGGGTTTTGGTGGAAATGTTGATGTTCTTCATAGTGGGATACAAAAGGTGTGTTAGTGACTGGATAAGGAAAATATTGCGTGTGAAACAGGGTCAGTATAGAGCCGGCAGGAGCCGCGAAGAGTGCTGTTGTCGAAGAAAAATGTCACAATTAATTGTAATCTTGTCCATTCACCTCTGTGTCAGTTTGAAAAAGCTTTAAATGTAGAGACATTTGTGGTTCCTCCAGCATAATTTAGCCGTTTAACGCTATTATGTTTCTAATGGTTGAAAGAGCGCGTGGAAAGAGCGCGTGGAAAGAGCGCGTGGAAAGAGCAATTTTTAAGAACAAAAACAATGTACTTTGTGTTAATTGCTACTGTAGTATTAAAATACCTGAAGAGAGTCTCAATTCTAATATTAAGTTGGTTATAAACCTTGATAATATTAAAGTTTTCAGAAGATTTGTAGGAATATTAAAAGGAATTTAGACTTATAAAACATATCATTAAAAATATGAATATAGTGAATTCCATGTTTGTATTGTGTTTAATATCATCTCTAGAAATTAACAGTTTATAAACCAAATCCTTGTTATATTTTTAAATGCCCTTGTAGCTTTCATTATATGTTTTAATATTCGCAAGCAGTTTAGTAGGTTAGGGATGCAACAGCACTTTTCAAATTATTGAATTATAACCAAATTTTGTGTCTGGATAGGAATTACTATATTAATTAAAGATTTACAGTTTGTAATGATAGAGTTGGAGCAAGTTAAGCTGCAATGTGCCCTACTTTGTTATTTTAAGCTGTTTAACGCCAGAATTATTTGAATGGGTTAACCTGTCCATCTGCTAGCCTGCGCGCAGACTATATAATGATGTATATATAATTATGTCATTATATAGTCTGCGTGCAGGCTATCCATCTGCATGTCTACCTATCTTTGGTTAATTATCTCATTAGATCATTAAGCCACAATGCTCTTTAGTGCACCCTATTTTGTTATTTCACTGTACTTCTGGACAATATTTCTCATCAATGGCCAAAAATGTAGTTGACTTCATGTCGATTACTGCCATTAATTAATTAACTACTGTACTAAATATGACATTCAAGGTTGGAGATATAGCAATAGAGGTTGCTATCATTATAGCATTCAGGGGTGTCACTAGCCCAAATTGTCAGGTCAGAGTGAATTAATTTTTCACTGTATGTGTTGGCCTTGTGTTTGGTAGCAAATACATGCAATTTCATATCATTTGCTCACTCCAGTACAACATAAGCATCAATACATTTTTTAGGTTGACCCCCTGTCAGAACCAATGACAGAATGTGCAAAATGCCATAGTGAAACCCGAGGATTCATTATATTATTGTGCACCTATCAATGTTAAGCCCCAAAGGAGGGGGGTTGGGCATAGGTGGGGGCATTTTATTTTTAGAGCAAATTTTCAATCAAATGCCCCACCGTCGGGCAATAAATATTGGTCAAATGCCGCACCATTTTGCAATAAATTGCAATAAATACTATGTTAATAAAAGTCATTCGGTTCAAATTGCCCCAACTCGGGGCCAAAATGCTATTCAAAATCCTCAGGGTGGGGATGCAATTGATGATCAAATACCCCACATATGCCCAACCCCCTCCCCCCTCTGGGGGTTAACATTGATAGGTGCATTAGGTGTATGCAGACTGGAATACAAGTTAATATCACTGCCTGTGAAATTGTGGTTTATTTAGAGAATAAAGGTTTTTTGAACTCTTCTATCAATAAATTATAACAGCAAAAGATTCATATGCACCCATATATGGAAGGGTTACATGCTACAAGTTAAAGTACAGTATATACATTAAATAATAAAATATATAACAGTAAATCCCAAAATTGGATTGATTGAAACTAGTTATTAGCTAGTTCTTCGCAATTAAATAACACAAAAACAAATTAATAAAAGTTATTAACCATTTCTGACACAAATAGTATTTGCAAAATATAGCACATATTTGATATTATAGTCAAATAGTACAGTGTACTGACAGTACTGTACACTATGTATAGATTAAAACTACAGAAAACCTGTACAACACAAATATGAGTAAAGTTTTCACGCTCCATTTAACTGTTGTGATATAATACGCATTAAGTATACGTTCCTTTGCATTTCCTTTGTAGTATTAGTATATAGCACAGCTCTGAAAAACCAAAACAATATTCGTACACTCCTAAACGACCGCCATGTTGTATGTAAAAATATACGGTTAAAAATTAATTTTTGCAAAATTGCAACATTCCATTGTATACCAGCAACCAATCATATTCATTTCTGAGATGGATTATCCCAGAGCCTTCGTTTCCTTCCCAAGGATCGCAGGCTCTGGGAACGAGATTGCAGGAACTGGTGACCAACCTCGTCCCCAGGGCCTTTTGAGGAAAGATGCGAAGGGCAGCTAAGGCCCTGGTAAAGGCTGGTGAAATAATCCACAAATTGTGGATTATTTTGTCACGTGATATATCGGAGCAAATACTATACAGGGGGGTGCGATCGCGGATCGCTTTAGCTACAATATATTCGTCAATATTGAATAAACACCGAAATCGACAAATAAAGAACAAAAATCTATTTTAAAATTAAAAATCTGTTAAAGTTCTTCCAAAAATATTGAATAAATTTGAAATTGTCTTCAAATTAGCGCTGAGAACCTGTGTTGAACT